TTAGTAAGGCTTTTGATACTGTCCCTCCCAGCATCCTTCTGGACAAGTTGTCCAGCTGTGGGGTGAGTGGGTTCACAGTGCACTGGGTGAAGAACTGGCTGAAGGGCACAGCTCAAAGGCTTGTAGTGAATGGGGTTACACTGGCTGGCGACTGGTCACCAGGGGTGCTCCTCAGGGCTCAGTCCTAGGGCCGGTTCATTTATCAGCAATGTGGATGCAGGAGTTGAGCGCACCATTAGCAAGTTTGCTGATGATACCAAACTGGGAGGTGCTGTTGATTCTCCTGAAGGACCAGCAGCCTTGCAGAGGGACCTAGATAGATTGGAGCATTGGGCTATGGTTAAATTTAACAAGTCCAAGTGCCAGATTCTGCACCTGGGATGGAGTAACACCAGGCAGAAGTATAAATTGGGAGAGGAGTGGCTGGAAAATAATAATAATAAATCCCCTGCAGGAAGGGATCTGTGGGTGCTGGTCACCAGCAGGCTCCATACGAGTCAGCAGTGTGCCCCAGCAGCCAAGAGGGCAACCTGCATCCCGGGGTGCATCAGACACAGCATGACCAGCCAGTCAAGAGGTGACTGTCCCGCTGGATTCAGTGCTGCTGTGGCCTCACCCCAAGTACTGCATGCAGTTTGGGGCCCCACAATTTAAGAAGGATGTGAAGGTCCAGAGGACAGCAAGAGAGCTGGTGAAAGGGCTGGAAGGAATGTCCTGTGAGGAGCGGCTGGGGACTTTGAGCTTGTCTAGTTTAAAGGAGGCTGAGGGGCAACCTCATTGCTCTCTACAGCTTCCTGAGGAGTGGACGTCGAGAGGGAGGTGCTGAGCATTTCTTCCTGGGATCTAGCGACAGGACACAGGGGAATGGTTCAAAGCTGCACCAGGGGACGTTCAGACTGGACATCAGGAAGCATTTCTTTACTGAGCGGGGGGTCAGACACCAGAACAGGCTTCCCAGAGGGGTGGTCCATGCCCCAAGCCTGTCCATGTTAAGGGGCATTTAACAGTGCCCGAAACAGCACGCTTTAACTTTGGGTCAGCCCTGAAGTGGTCAGGCAGTTGGACTAGATGGTCCTTGTAGGTCCCTTGCAACTGCAAATATTCTATCCTATTCCAAAATGACTCAGCCTACCTGTTATGTGCCAAACTTAACGATCAGTGAGCCCACAGGCAGATTCCGGTCACAGCAGATGAAGTTTTCAGAACTGTTATGCATTAACTCCTGTTCCCGATATAAACCTGATCAGTTTTGATAGTTTTAAGATTTCTGCTACACATGACAGGAAATGCTCTTTAAAAAAATCTACACTTACATGCACAGTAACTCAAGAGTTTTTCTCACAAATGTGAGCAAATTGCCTTATGTTCTCACCTGGGACATAGAAGACTACAGCTCAGGGTTGGCCATCAGAGAACGCTGGGAACTGACCTTCAGTCTCCTGCATCCTCAGTGCAGGACTCACCTAGGCAACCATTTCCATAACCTTCTGTGTCCAGGTAATGCAAGTTCTTTCTTTTGAAATCCTACAAAACAGGTAAGCTTCTTCTTACCAGAAAGTAAAACCATTTCCCAGCGTAGCTGAACTAGGGCACATAGGGCAGGGAAGAATGCAACCAGAAGATGCAGAAAGGCATCAGTCTGCTGTAAACGAGGATCAACAGAAAGCATACGCACTTAATGAGTGTTATTAGCAGCAACATAATTCAGAATAATCCATTTACACACACAGCAGCTGTTCAGGTCCATCATGAAACACTTGTTCTAAGACCAACTGAATAAATAAGATTACAAGTAGACCTCTAACGCAGTGCATTTGCATATGGAAACAATCCTGGTGAACATGCTCTATAAACTGCTTATACATACATAAATGGCCAGCCTGAACAGAAATAATTTTTCTTCTTCAAGAAAAGAACTTCAAGGGAACGCTATCTATTTAGTTTGTTTGGAGAAGAAATAAAATAAGCTTTATAGTGACTTTCAAACCCCTGCGTGCCTGGTCCTCTCCTCAGCATCCCGCCTCGCTCTCTCCCCAGCACAGCATTTCGTGCGCCGCCTGTGCACGCCACATCAGCGTAAGAGCAGGGAGACACCCGGCACCCCCCGCCCTTTGACATGAGCCCTCTGCCGCCGGCTCCCAGGGTCCCCCCGCCTCGAGCGGGGCTGCACCCCTCACCCCC